TGCCCATTCCAATATCCAAGCATGACCCCCCTCACCAGCCCCCTCTCCCACCCCCACCGTCTTCAAAGCCAGGGACCTGGCAGTGGTTCTGAAAGCCGGGCAGAGCCTCCATGCCATGGCTTGGCATGGATCTCAAAGGCTCAATTAGCAACATCTGCTCTTGTGGGCTGTAAAACCCTCTCTGCTCCCCTCCCTTGCTCCGAGCGCTCACAGCTGGGAGCAGCATGGGGCTGCAGCCAGCCCAGCCAGGGGAGCTGTGCCCCTGGCCCACAGCTGTCATAGCTTGCTGTGCCACCTCTGCCACTGTGCCACCTCTGCCACCACTCTCCAGACCCCTGATGGCAGCTGAGTGCGAGGGACAAGGAGTGAGCTGTTCTCTCAGTAACCAGGGAATGGCTGGAGCTGTGTCAGGGAGGGTTAGGTTGGATATTGGGAAAAGGTTCTTCCCCTAAAGGATGGTCAGGCACCAAACAGAGGCAAGGATCTGGAGAACCTGGAGTGGCTGGGAGCGCTCAGCCTGGAGAAAGGAGGCTCAGAGGGGACTTTCTCCACAACTCCCTGACAGGAGGGAGCAGCTGGGGGCTCAGGCTCTGCTTCCAGGGAACAGGGACAGGATGAGAGGAAACAGCTTCAAGATGTGCCAGGGGAGGTTCAGGTTGGACATCAGCAGGAATTTCTTTATGGAAAGGGTGGTCAGGCATCGGAAGGAGCTGCCCAGGGAGGTGGTGGATTCCTCATCCCTGGAAGTGTCTAAGGGAGGACTGGATGTAGCACTCAGTCTTCTGGGCTTGTTGACCAGATGGAGATCGGTCAAAGGTTGGGCTTGATGACCTTGGAAGGCTTTTCCAACCTCAATGATCCCATGATTCTATGAAAACCAGCCCATGCCCTGGAGGCCGGCTGAGAGCCCCCGCCAGCACCCATTGTTCGGGAGCTGAAGCAATCGGAGCCCTTTGCCGAGGAGCCTGGCGGGCCGGGCGGGCTGTCCCGGGAGGGCCGTATAGCAGCAGGGCTGGACGCGGCTGTCATCATTCCGCGGATGCCTCCGGACGCCGAGCGGCGCCACACGAGGCCACCGAGGTCGGCAGGGAGGGCACGGAGCCAGCCGGGATTGGGATTTGTGAATGGGAGCGGGACGGGCACGGCTGGTGGGACAAAACCGTGGGGAGAGGGGGTCCCTGAGCCCCCACCTGAAGGCGGCTGTGCCCTCACAGCCTGGTGGCAGGAGGGGACAAGGGAGTCCCTTGGGCAGCACAGATGTCTGACATGGCACCAAGCGCTTCCCCGCCTTTCCCAGCCTCATTCCAGGAATGTCCAGTATGTCCACTCCTTGCCCACATTTTGGCCATTAGATCTGCTTATCCTTGATTTACTCACTCCCTGGGGAGCTCTCAGGGCCTCTCCCTCTGTACAAAGCAGCCTCAGCTGCATTCTGGCTGCAGCAAAATATCCCACCCTGGGGACATCCCTTGGGAGAGTCCCCAAAACCCCAGTGCCCTCCTCAGCTGGGGGTAAAACCCAAAACCCTCAAAACCCCCTCTCAACTCCTGCCTGGGAGCTGGGGGGCAGCAGGGCTTGCCAGGAATGTCACCCCATGAAAAACAAGGGGTGTGATAACACATAAAAACACATCATTGAAGGCCTTTGCCAAGGCCAGGCCAAGCCTTGGCTGGAGCAGTGGGAAGTGAGAAAACACCTTGTGCTGATGGCGATTTCCTTCCTAGTTATCCCCACCAAGGATCTGCCTCACAGGTAATCACAGAAACTCCAAATTCCCCAGGGAATCTCCCCAAGCACCAAGGCAGAGGCTGGCAGAGCTGCATCTCCCACCTGAGGAATCAGGACTCGAGTGCCAGCCTGTCCATATCTGCTTAGAGTAAGAAAAACATCCATAAATCACATTTCCCTTGGAATACTGGCAGTAAAACATCCACACAACATTGCCCTCAGCACAGCAGCAGCAGCAGTAGACGGAGAGAAGCCAGAGGAGGGCTGAGCAAAGCTGTTCTCTCCTGAAGGGTCATGTGTGAGCCGCTGGTTTGGCAGCGAGTGGGAGGAGCAGATAATGCTTTCCCAGGCAGAGGAAACTCCTGGGTGGAAATAGCGCTGTGCCCTGGAAACGGAGCTGTCAGCAAACAGGGCTGGTGCAGCCTCCTCTCAGCAGGTCATGCTGAGCTGGGCACAGACTCCAAGCTGGATGGACCTCTCCTGATGGGAATGGGAGTGATGGGCTCCTGTCACAGCCCTGTGGGAGCTCAGGGAAGCTGAGGTCAGGGATGGGCAGAGTGCTCCTGCATGGTGGCTCCCTGGGACACCCTCTCCATGGCCTCCCTCCTGGTTTTATTCACACCAGGAGTGTGGTGGGGCAGGAAGAAAGCTGAGTCCTCAGGCTGGGAGAAAGCTGAAAAAGGGTGGGAACAAATGGAGACAGACAGGAAATAAGAAAGAAAGGACAGCGGGGCTTGGTGTCCCATAATTAACGGTGTGCACAAGGCTTGGAGGGGCTCTGTTGCTGTCTCAGCTCTTCCTGGATGTAAGCAGAATAGGGCAGTGCTGGTCTCCTGCCTGCACCACTCCCCCTGAGACATGGAGTGATGGGACAAGGGGGAATGGCTTTAAACTAAAGAGAAGGGAACTTTAGATGGCAAATTGGGAAGAAATTATACCCTGTGAGGGTGGTGAGGTGGGGAGGCCCTGGCACAGGTTGCTCAGAGAAACTGGGGCTGCCCCTGGATCTCTGGAAGTGTCCAAGGGCAAGTTGGATGGGCCTTGGAGCAACCTGGGGAGTGGAGCAATCTGGGCTAGTGGAAGGTGTCCCTGTCCATGGCAGGGGAATGGGCAAGGTGATGTTTAACAGTCCCTTCAACCCAAACCATCCAGTGATTCCTCAAATGCCAGTCTGACCCTGTGTGCACAGAGCAGGCACAGACAGTGCTGGGAAAGAAACCCACCCCAGGAACCCCAGACCTGCAGGAACAGCACTCTCAGCTATTCCAGCATCTCCTCCCAGCAGGGCCATGGACACACTGGAGGAGCAGGAAGGGATGGGGTGGAAGAGCCAGAGAGAACAGCCCCTGAGGGAGTCACAGGTGTCTGTGCCACGGCTCAGAGGAGCTGAGCCTCCAGCCTGGCTTGCAGATCCTTACATCACTCCCGGTGATGTTCAACATTTGTTCGTTCCGGCTGTAAAACCTCTCCTGGCTCTGCACCAGGTATTTCCCTCCCTCAGTGCCTCAGCCAGGGCTGAGCTGCTGGAGCGTGAGCAGCTCACACACCGTGGCCTTTGTGACTAATGGCACCAGCTGAGGTGACAGCCCCTCCATGACAGCCCCTTTCCCATGGGGCGTGCTCTCCTCACAGGTTAGGATGATGAACAGGAGGATAAAGCCCTGTGCCTGCAGGATCCCACTCTCCTGAGGGAGCTTGGGTAACCAGCTCCAGCACCCCATGGCCTCAAAGGAGCTGGTTCACTTTGGGACAGAGCTTGAGGAAAACCCCAGAAAGCAATTCCCACAGCTGGGGCAGTGCCTGAGGCAGAGGATGGTTTTGTGAATGGAGCAGGAGCCTCCAAGCAGGCTCTGCCCTCTGTTCTGTGTACACTGGGGTTTCATGTCCATAAAATTATGGAATCATTTAAGTCAGAGTGGCTCTCAGAGACCGTTGAGTCCAACCATCACCCCCAGCACTACCAAGGCCATCATGAATCCATATGCCCAAGTGCCACATACCCGTGATTTTGACCACTTCCAGTGACTTCACTGTTTCCCTTGGTATCTGTTTCAATGCCTGACCATGTTTTTAGTGAAGAAATTTTCCCTAATATCCCACCTAAACCTCCACTGGTGCAGCTTGTGGCCATTTCCTATTGTCCTGTCCCTGTTTCTTGGGAGCAGAGCTCGATCCCCCTGGCTGTCCCCTCCTGTCAGGGAGATGTACAGAGCCAGAAGATCCCCCCTGAGCCTCTTTTTCTCCAGGCTGAGTCCCCCCAGCTCCCTCAGTTGCTCTTTATTTTCCACTCCCAGGGAGCTGATTGTCTCTCAGGGTTTGGCCATGCCAAGAACCCCCTAACAGGGATTTAGGGACATGAATAAGGGATGTCCCTGAGAGCTGCTTTTGCTGTCTGGTGATATGTGTCTCCCAGTCTCCCAGAAATGGAATCACTGGGGGCTCTTTGTGGGGCTGAGGGTGTGTGGGCAGTGAGGGGACACCAGGCTCTGCTCTTGGGGGACAGCACCGTGTGTGTGGCTGCTGCCGGAGCCCCCAGGGCCGCTCTCCACTGGGACCTGTTGACACCGGGGATGGGGACGGGACCAGTCCGTGAGGGTGAGTGAGGATGACGATGAGGATTCAAGTGAGGGTTAGGATGAGGATGAGTATGCGTGTGAAGATGGTGGCAAAGGTGAGGTGAGGATGACGGTGGGGGTGTAGTGACGGCGAGGATGAGGGAAGGGATGAGGAGGAGGCTGAGGGTGCAGATGAGGTGCGGATGAGGTGACGGTCAGGGTGGGGGTGAGGACGGGGCTGAGCGCGAAGCTGCCGCGGGGTGTGGCGGGTGTGCGGGCGCGGGGTGTCCCGGCCGGGCCGGGCCGGGCGGAGCGGATCGGAGCGGATCGGAGCGGAGCTGTCCTTCAGCACCTCGGCAGCGCCGGCCGGGCCGGGCCGCGGCCGTGCCGGTGCCGGCGGAGCGGAGGCAGCGCGCAGGCGCAGCGCTCGCGGCTCCTCAAGGTGTTGGCGGCGCGGCCGAAGATGGCGACAGACTGAGGGCGATGGGGCCGGGCGGCGGCGGCGGCGGGCGCGGCGCGGTCCCGGCACCGCGCCGGGGCAAGCGGAAAGCCGAGTGAGGGCGGCCGGGGCATGCCCGGGGCCGGGACCGGGGCCGGGGCCGGGGCGGGCGGCGGCGGCGGGGCGCGGCGGGGGCGGCGCGGGCATGGCGGCGGTGCGGGGCAGGTGACAGCGGCGGCAGCGCGGCGCTGCCCGCCCGCCGCCCGCGCGCCCCCGGCATGATCCGCGGCGCCTGGATGTCCCCCCGCGGGGGCGCCGCCGGCGGGGCCGTGTGCTGCGCGCCGCGCCGCAGCGACAAGCCGGTGGCCGACCCCGAGCGGGCGCAGAAATGGCGCCTGTCGCTCGCCTCGCTCCTCTTTTTCACCGTGCTCCTCTCCGACCATCTGTGGCTCTGCGCCGGGGCCAAGCTGCGGGCGCGGGAGCGGCCGCGGGGCCGCGGGCCGCGGGCGCTGCTGGCGGCCGAGCCGGCGGGCGGCGGCGGCGGCGGCAGCTGCGAGGCCCTGCTGGGCAACCTGAGCCGCGGCCCCGGCGGGCCCTGCCCCGCCGCCCGCGGGGACCTGGACTCGGCGTGCGCCCGGCTGCTCGCCCCGCAGCGCCCGCGGGCCCCCGGCGCGCCCCTGCGCTCGCCCCCCGCCGCCGCCGCCGCCGCCGCCGCCGCCGCCGCGCCCTTCTTCGCCTCGCCCTCCTCCAAAAGGACCTTCCTGCAGGCTTACTTCAGGAACTTCAACCTCTCCTTTTGTGATACTTACACGATCTGGGACCTGCTGCGGGAGATGGCCGGCCCCGACGGCCTGGACTGCAGCCTGGACAACCTGATGGTGGACCTGGTGGTGGCGGCGGCCGGGGCGCTGGACGGGGAGGCCTGTAGCAGCTGTGTCCAGGCGTACCAGCGGCTGGACCAACACGCTCAGGAAAAATATGAGGAGTTCGACCTCTTGCTGGAGAAGTACTTGCAATCGGAAGAGTACTCGGTCAGATCCTGCCTGACGGACTGCAAGGTACGAGGGGCGTCCGGGGTGAGCCGGGCCGGGCCACAGCGGGCTTGATGTGGTGTGGGGGTACCGTGGTCCCCCTGCTCTCACACCTGCCTGCAGGCTGGAATCTCCCTCTGCTCCCCAAACCTCTGCTGGCAGTGGTGATGGGACAGGTCTGGAGCCCTTGGGAAAGCTGGGACAGGGTGATGGGACAGAAAAGGCAAAGCAGGACTTGGCCTGAATGAGTGCTCACACATCCCTTCACACCTGTGCACACACAGGCAGCTACTGTCATCCCACTGCCATTCCCAACACCCTGCTCCCAACACAGTCTGAGCACCGAGCTCATGACACTCCACTGCCAGCACCCCAATCCTGACACCTCTCCTGACACCCCAATCCCCACATGGCACCTCAATCCAAGTACTTCATTCCTGACACCCCAATCCCTGCTTGCCTTACCCACACCTCTTTCATTGTACACCCCTGTGCACACAGAGGCTGAGCTGCGGCACATGTGAGGCCCCTCACCTTTGCCTCAGACCTGCTGCTGCTCCTGGGACAGCCCACGGTTCTGCCTGGCTGTCATTAGACCAGCGGTGACCTGAGATGAACCATGGTGCCCTGTACGCAGCAGCTGTTTTCCAGCTCTGACACCCTTTCTGCCCAGGGGTGCTGGACTGTGCCTCCCACCTTGGTGTTCCCCCAGTGTCACTGACTGTCCCCAGCCCCGGGGCACAGTCCCTGCTCTGAAAGCTGATGGGTTGGTTGTGTCTCCCAGCATCAGTGGTATCAAGTCTCAGTATGGAGCCATCTCCTCTCCCAGATGAGAGTTATGGTTGGATCTCCATCAAACCCCCAGTGTGGCTCTGCTGGATGCTCATTCTTACAAGCCTGTGGTGCCTCCAGCTTCCATCAGCTCCAAGCTGCCTGGCTCACCTGTGCATTCTCCTTCCAGACATCACCTCTGGGAAGTGCAATGGTCTCCATAATTAAATCTGCTTCCCTTTCTCAGAGCTGTGTCTTGGGGTGTGTGACAGCACTGTCCCCACAGGGATGGTGGCTGAGCTCCCTCCCTGGCAGTGTGACAGGGTTGGCTGCTCCTCTTCTGGGACAGGAGTTTTGAGGGACACTTGGATTTGCAGAGCAGTTCTTGAAGTGATGTTCATGCCCTGTGAAAGTGCAGGAGCAGCACCAGGAGCAGGACTGGGACACTGAGGTGGTGTCTTTCAGCAAGGGCACTTTGGTGAGATCCTGGCCACCACTCCAAGGGTCGCTTTTGTGGGAAGCTGGGTTTGACCAGGAGCTTGTGCTTGTGTTCTGGCATGGACCAAGGCAGGTAATTACAGTCTGTTTCCCAGATTCCCCCTGTGGTTTCCAAGGGATGTGGCGTTCAGACTGCTCTGTGTGGTTTGGTCCTGCTGCTCCACTTCCACAGGGTGCTGTCCATTGTACTGCTCCTGCTTCCAGGGGCCCAGCAGGATCAGGATCTCTCTGTGCCATGTCTGGTGGAGCATAAACGTTCCAACTTCAGGCTTAGCTTCCATCTCTGCTGGGAGTCCCAGAGAGAGAAGCAAAAGAGGTGAGAAAATAATTATGTTGGGACTCCAAACTGTGTAAAAACAGAGCTGTGCTTTGATGAGTCTCCATAAATTGTCCCTGGGTTTAACATCCTCGATGGGAGAGCAGGAAATGTGCTGGGGAGATGCAGAGCTGGAGGTAGTGGCAGGACTTGTTCCTGTGAGCTGGTTCTTTGTCACGTCAGCGCATCCTTAGAGCATCTGTGAGCTCCAGGCTTGCATTCCTCAGGCAGCACTTGGGAAGCAACAGGAGGCAGGAGCAGCAGGGACAACCTGTGCACACTTCCCTGAGCCACCCACTGGGAAATTCCCATGGGAGTGCCCGAGCCTGCACACTCCCTCTGGAGCCCTCACAGCTCCTATCCTGAAAAATCAGGCTGCTTTGTTTAAGCCATTCACTCCATATTTATGTGCCTTACTCCAGCCTTTCACATCCATGAGACTCAGCTTTTCCCTCTCAGTGGCTGTTCCCATCTGTGAATTGAGGCTGATACCAGACCCCTCCAGCACTGTGGTGACAAGCGAGTTTTGGTCTGATTTCGAGTCCTCTGGACTCGAGCAGGGACTACAGTTACTCATTGCCTTGGAAAAATGTGGCTGACAGGATTTTTGAAGCAGTTTGAATTTGTGATTCCCATCCAGATGCTGGATAATACCTGTTTGTGAGGGATGGCAAAGCTATTGCTTGATGGTGATAACATCTGAGAGCAAATAACAGGAAAACAGCAGAGGAGTGGAGGAAAACAGTGGAATGTGCAGCTTGGCCAGTGTGAGAGCTCCTGCAGAGCCCTCACAGCAGGATTCTGGCTTCAGGAGCTCTGGAGCTGGAGAAACAGGATTTAAATGATAATTCTGGGACATGGGACTGTGGGAGCAGGGCTGAGTGTGGAGGGTTTGTGCTGCATCCCATTCACATCCCTGCCATTCTGTAACAGCAGCTGGGAAATTGAAGATGAGGAGGCACAGCAGCTCAGCTCACCTGCACACAGCCTCCCTCTGCTGAGGCACGGATCCCTCTGGAATTTGGTGCCTAAGAAGTGTGGCTCAATAGACAGCTCACAGGGAGCTCTATGGCAGCCACACCACTCTGGTGATTTGGGCTCTTTTTTCCACCTGATTTCAAACAACAGCAACACCAAATCCCAACTGGAGCTGCCAGTTCCTTCCTGTGGCAGCAGGTTTCACCCCGAGCTAAAAATTTGGAAGTATGTAAATGTTGTATATTGGTTTCAGGAGACACATAATGCCCTGAGAGCATTATAATTATTATAATCATCTTGAGAGCTGCCCTCAGGTTTGGGAAGAAGAACCAAGTCCTGCCAGGAGGGGAAACAGCATCCTGGACATCCCAACCCCAGATCTGTCTATTGGAATAAATCACTTGAGCTCCATTTTCTTCACACAGGAAAAACCAAATTTTTATTCATATAACTTATTTTATAGTTTTCACAGACCTCCTGTGCAACCTCTATTACCTGGTAGTTTCCTTACTACTTCATTTGTTGGTCAAAAGGTGATTTGTGTGTATGTGCTAAGGTTCAAGTTATTTACATTTTTCTTTTGTGGGTTCTCAGGGAACAGATCTAATAAGTGCCGGTGCACTTATTTTCCACCCAAAAAAGGTTTTTACATTAACAAACTGTTCATACCCAGATTAGTTTCACATGGGAACTTGCAAAGTACTAGCTGCACTTAGAAGAAATGACAGGCTAGCTATTGATTTAACAGAGCAGGCCTGAATTTATGAAGCCTTTCTTTTATAATTTCTCTGCCTGTCTGCAACAGCAGTCTGTGCCCAGAGGTTGGGGAAGACTGGACCAAAGTCCCCCTGGAGATGGGAATCCCATGAAATGGTGGGGTCTGTGTGTAATTCAGCTGCTGAGATTACTCAGTGCAGAGTGTCATACTCTCCCTTTTTATTTTCTGCTTGGGGGTCATTCCTGGGCAGATCCCACTTTTTCCATGTGTTGTTATTCCTGTGCAGCACCGTCAACTTTCAAATCACTCCCTGGAAATGTTTTATTTGTTGCTCTTCCAACTAACACCAGAAATCCCTGTGGCTGAGAGACATTAAACCATGAAGATGCACTTCTGGAGTTTATTGTTTGCATTTCCCATTTGGTGGGATTTTGGAGGTCTGGCTCCCACAGGGACACTCATGGACAGGGGCACTGGCATCCTGTGACAGGAGGAAGAGATGGAAGTGGATTCACAAGGTCCATCCATCTTCTCCAACACATTTCACCTCATGCTGTGAGGATCTGCCTGCCAGCTGCTGGCTGATGGTGCTAGGTAGGGATGATGTGGATAAAAGGTGGCACATGCCTGTGTTTTCCTGAACACGAGAGGGAAAAGTCATTAATTGAGTCAGGAGCAGCTGCTGGCCGCCTCCATCTCGCCTGTTGCTGTGTAATTTGTACCCTTTGTCACTGCAAGACACAGTGAACTCAGTGCACTGAGCAGTTGTGGGGACACTTTGGAGCATCCTCCAAAGGGGCTTGAGAAGGTCATGGTCTGGGGATGTGAATATTGTACTGGAATATCCATCAGGAAATGTGGGGCAGCAGCAGCACTCAAACTGTCAGCCCAGGCCTTGCAGGGCTTAGTGCAGGAGGAAATCACTGTCCCTCCAAAGCAATGCCCTGAGGGATGCTTAGGGCTCTTTTGTGCCTTTTCCCATCTTTCCAAACAGGAAAAGAGCAGTGTTGCTCCACCTCAGACACCAGATGAGAGCTTTACTCGTGCCAAGGCTGAGCTCTGCATGCTGGCTCCCACCCCAACAGCTCCAAAGTGCCCCCTCCCACCGTCCTGGGGCAAATCAAGATCTATGGGACAAAGCCCATTAAGGAGTCATTAGGCTGCAAGAAATAAAGCTGTGGAGAGAGAAGGGCTGACAGGCAGGAGGGGGCTGGCAGCAGAGCTGGGCTGGACAGGACCTGTAGCATCTCAGATGTGATTAGATTATCAGGTTTCTCTGCACACGGGCCCGTGGCTGTGGGATCTGGTTCTGCACCTCTGGTTTCCCCAGTACCCCTGGCAGGGCAGGATTTCACTCCCGAGGCTTTGCTGGTGTTTCTGTGCCGCTGGTGTGCAGTGATGTGGTGAGAAATGGAGGCTGTTCCTGCTCTGGCATCATCCCTGGCACATCCCACACAGAGCAGGGAGCAAATCCCCAGTGCCCAGGCTCAGCACCCTCTGGGGTCCTGTTTTCTGGCTCTTGTTTAACCAGGAATAGCATCAGCAATCAGCATCCCTACAGAGCATCCCTCCCTGTGGAACATCCTCTGCAAACCTAAGCCTGCTGGTGCCAGGAGCTTTGGGAACACCATGTCTTGGGGTTATCCCAGTGCCAGGGACACTTCTTGGGGGAACCAAAGCAGCATTTTACCTTCACAAAAGTAGCTCAAGTTGAGGGTTTTTTGGGCTGGGTTTTAAATCTGGTGC